ATTTGTCTTTTTGAAAGTCACACACATGGTCTCCAGGGGGGCATTATTGTGACCAGTTCCTCTGAAAATGTCAGCCACTATGTCAAATATCTAGAAAGGATGGTTATGCGAGACTAGAAGAATGGATTACAAGGCTCAAACATAGCAGTTTGAAAGCTGAAATAAATTTTGAAAAAGGTTTAATTAGACATTAGAAACAGAACAAGCAGGATTGTAATAATTGAGTACTTGTCCATTTGTTGTAACACAGCAAGTTCGATTATGTTAGTCTGTAAGCTTAGTCTAAAACTTTGAATTAAAACTAATTTCGCAAGGCAGAAGCATTTATGTGAAATAAGCATGACAGAATAAAGCTGACGTCATTCGTATCGTAAAACGAACATAGAGAAAGCGTCACCTGTTTAAACTCGTGAGGAAGAGTCCACGCATTTTTTAGGGGTAATTGGACTAGTTTGACCGAAAGCCAAATAAATAAAAAATTAACTGACAGTGGTGAGGGCTTTGGGGGCGAGTGAGAAAAATAAGTTCTATCGAAGTTTTTCCTCCATTTAGCCCCTGAAGCCCAAAAAGGCAATTGAAAAAATTCCCACTAAAACTCAGGAAAAAATAAGCTTAAGCCCGAGTTGATGAAAACCAAACTATAACCGGTGCTAAGACACATGCCTACCTACCATGTTCAACAGACTTGGAGAGCAAAAGGGCCAAAGACAGTTGTGAGCCATGACTTGGAAAATCCACCTCAACCTCCCAAAATCGAATTCGCCGAAGGTTGTTGTAAGAGCAACTCAATCCTGAAGCTGGAACATTTTTTAGAGCCTTGTGTCCAATGTGACTACAAAGAGAAAGAAAAGACAATGTTATCTGAAGTGATTTGAAGCTTGGGGGCCACCTCGAACTTAACGCAATTTTATTTCAAAGTTGAAGTAAATTAAGATCACGTTCTAGATTAACTTCTTTCATCGGATCAAATATTTTACAATCGTCTTCACATACAACTTTGTGATTTTTACAAGTAAAACATCAACATCTTAAGGCTAACCTTCAAGGTTTCCCGTCTCATCTGCACATCTTGATTTCCAGTAAATCAAATCTCAAACTTCAAGTTTTCGGGCTTTTTTCGAGTTTTGTTCGTACTTTGATCATTAAAATATCCTCATCAGAGGGGCCAGCAAACACCACAAGTATCCACAGAGTTAGAAATATTGGTATACTTGTCATTTTCTTTCATCCCTCTCCAAAAAGTACTTTAAAAAAGTGTCGATCGCCCAGTTGAAAACCCGCAGAAGCGCGCTGAAAATTTCGCAATGGCGCCGAACGCGCCGATCAAAATTCCTCTGGCGTATGCGCACTAAAATGCCCCCTCTGCTGAGAACAGCACGAATATTTTCGAGTCAGGTAAGCATTTGCTGAGACACATACACATAAACAAGGTTACAAGCTAGCTACTCATAACAGACAAAAGGTCACAGAGTCCTCTTACTCTCATAAAGCTACGACAACTCGTCAAAATGAATGGGCTGTTCCAAGTTTGTATCACCGCTGTCTTCCTTTTGTTGACCGTAAATGGAGACAAATCCTCCTCTCCAGCTTGCGCCAAACCATACGACCAAATGATGGCCTGTAACCTTATCTGTAACATGATTCAAGACTCGGACGCCAATGATGCCATGAAAATGTTACAAACCAAACTCGAAAGTCTTACTGCAGCAATGAAGAATCGTTCTCCTCCACTTCCAGGTAGTCCACCCAGACTGGAGGAATTTAAGTGTCTCGCGTAGCAACTCGCGCTATTGATTTGAGGGTTAAAACAACATGTGCGATTTTTTCAAAGCCACACAAACGGCTCTCGTTTTTGTTTTCAAACCCTGCTTTCCATCATTATTAAGCGTTTAAGAATGATAAAACCTAATTTTTAAAATAATAACCTGCACTGTTCTTTTCATTTCACCAGCGTCGTCATGCAAGGAACACTACGAAAAATACAAGTAAATGAATAGTGATACAATCATAACAAAATTAATGCAAATATATCCTGTGCTGTTATATTTAAGATAAGTTGATCTTTTTTAGGCACTTCCTCTTGGTTTTTTACAATGGCGATAATGAATTTTGTGAACACTGGTATTTCTGTTGTCCACAGGTCGACAAAGAGTCAAGTTTACCCCCTAATATTTGGTTCACAAAACATTCCTGTTTACTGTCACATGGGGAGCTTTGGTTGCGGAGAAGGGGGATGGACTTTGGCCATGAAGATTGACGGAAAGAAGGTATGCTACTTTGCTATCAAGGAATACCACTGTTGTAAACTATACACCA